TGAGGGGCCGCGGCTGCGCTGCGCCTCCGGCTCGGAAGGGCGGCCTGACGGGCTCGCCTTGTGCCACACACAGAGCAGGACAGGCCCTGCACGGAATAAGGTACTTGGCCTGATCCTTTTTCAGCCCCTCTAGTTACAGTTTGAGTCCCCAGAATCTTGAGGATGCTGCATTGCAGTGTCGGTGCTTTCCTTCACTGAGGATGGAGATTCAAATATACTCTTGTGGCCATTTTTTGGCAATTGGACAGCAATAAATCTGGATATTCATATGTCATACTGTGAATTCTTAATATTTCAGTACAAAGCTGTTCTGTACCTTGCATATAGTGTAGCCCACACAAATGGGCATGATTTTTGTTCAGCCCATGACTTCCCCTAGAGCACACCAGATTAGATCGGGACTGGTGTCATCCACATTTGCTGCATACAGAGCTGGCTGCATTGTACTGGCTTCATGGATGGTGGCTTTCCTGGCCGGTCCAGATGGATACACCAGAGTTTGTGTTTTCATTCAGTGTTTATTTGTTTTTATCAGTTGCAGTAACAAGTGCAGGTGCCAGTATAGTCTGAAGCAGGAGGTTTTCCCACATAGTTGAAGTACCTTCAAGAGTCAATGGGCAAGTCCATGGAGGCAAAATTCATTACAGATTACCACACACATAGGAACTACCTCTGGCTCAGGGAGTTCCTAACTAGATACTGGGAGATATTTCTACTAGTCAGGCCATTGTTGAAAACCAATGTAAGATGACACCTCTGCCTGAGTCTGTGCAGTCAGATATTTGCAATTTATTGTTAAAGTGTTATTTTTAAGCTCGAGTATAAAATTGTTCATCATTGAATTGATCTTGACATTGAGGCTGAGCTACAAAAGTATGAATGCATAGCTGTCTGTAATCTGACCATGTCCTTTTTTACAGAGATAAAATATTTCCAAAGTTGTTGAGATAGGAGACAACTATCTTAGAAGACACTGTGGTAGAGTACTTAAATTGAACTGAAAGGCACACTTTAAGACCATTTTTAGTACAAGGTACATGAATTATGTACACATAATCTATAACATTTCTTGTTACACACTATTCCAAACACAACATGTCCAGCCTTCTATAAATCCAAACATTTTAGCAACGCTTACCGCATTTGATGCTTTGTTTTGTGGGGCTTGGGGATGGCTCATGGTGGTGGGGTTATCCCGTAGTCATTTTGTGTCTGGAATTGTCACTGCTGCCTTTCCCTTCGCCCCCTTCCCCGCCACGCCTCGGGTGATATCGCCAGGGGTGCAGGGGGCCCCGGGATCCTGCAGGGGTTGGAGCTGGGGCTGCTCCTTCCTTCCAGCGCGGGGGGAATTGGGGCAGCAGCCACGCAGCAGTGAGTGGATTTGACCTGAGATCCTATTGCCCTGTAGGGGTTTTTGTGGGTTGTTTGTTGATTGGTTTGTGGGGGTTTGTGGGCTTTTGTTGTTGTTGTTGTTTGTTTCTTGGGGTGGGAGTTTTGTTTTGGTGTTTTGGGTTTTTTTGGGTTTGTTTTTGTTGGTTTTTTTTTTCCTTCAGCATTGCGACCAGGGCCTGCCGTTTTGCTTTGCCTGCTTCTGCTTCCCTTGCCACGCGGGAGCTCAGAGCCAGCGCGTGTGGTGCCAAAACCCAGGACCGAGAGAGCCTCCCGCCGGAGCCCCTTGCCCTCTGCGGCTGCTCCTGTGTGTTAGTTAGGCTCCGAGACTCCCATTCACCGCTGTCTCTCCACTGCAAGCCTGCTCAGCTTCTCCCTACTTCCCAGCCGTTTGAGGGTCCAGAGCCCATGTGTCGGGTGCCATGGGGACTGGGAGAGGGTCATATTTTCTATTTAAGGGAGGCTCCCGCCTTCCTAGGCAGACACCCATCTTTTAAACCAGGACTTGCTTAAAACATTTTCACGAAGAAAAACATAATTAGCTTTGGTGTGATTTTGTTTTCTGAAATACATGATTTGATATGTATCACTTGATGCCAACATATTTGCTACCCAGGGAAAACCAGTGATTGTTACCCTATCTCATTTGTTTTCCCTTGACACATTTTCAAATAAGCATTACCTTTAAAATCAAATAAGTCTTACTAACTTTGTTGTTGGTTAATTTAATGCATTCTTTAACACATTTGAATAGTGTGCTGTTTTTAAAATTCTGCAGGTAGGTTATCAGTGCATTGTGTAAAAATTAATAGAGTACTTTTCCACTGCTATCTACCATCTCTATTTTCATGTAAAAAATTTATTGTGAAACCTTCACTAATTGTTTACAAATATTGCTGCAAAACACAATAATGTCTTTTTAATTGTAACATTAGAGAAGCACCTTAAGGGAATGTGCCTCAATGTTTCCATGCACTTGAAGATGGCAATATTTGAAATAATTCCCTCTAAAACTCTAGCTGAAACTGTTTTCAGATTAAAGGTTTTTGCAATAAACTTCTCAAGATCAAATCATGGCTTATCAGTTCACTTTGAAATCAGGTGTGCACTAAGCAGCTAGCAGGAAATGCCCATTCCTACTCGTTATTTAGTGCAGATAAAGTGAAATTTATCAAAGCTGATACTAAAGTTCTGAGCTGCAAATGATGCATTACACCAATGTTTGCACCATTTTATTTTTCTTTTTTTTAATAAGTATTCCTACCACAATGGCATTGGTACCCAAAAGTAAATGACAAAGTTTTTTGATTTCAACTCTAACAAGGAGGTACTGAAAATGTTTTGCTGCTTTTATGCTTTGATGCATCTGTGACTGAAATAAAGAAAAAGCAAGCCCTTTTTACCCAGCTCTTCAATTACTTTTCAGTTGAGAGTACATTTAAAGCATTCTTGGTAATCCACAAAACTTTTGCACTACTGTATCCATTTAAAATATTCAACAGACTCTCAAACCGCAAGCTTTAAGCTAAAAACACATTTAGTTCCGTTTCCTCCAGGTTAATTTCATTTTGCATTTTCAGAGTACAGAAAATCTATGGGAGATATTCAAGACTGGCCATGAGTTAAAATCCTTACATTTGCAAATACATCTGTAGGGTATTTAAGACATTTTATCTTATTCCATATAGTAAAGGAATGAGTGTTTGAGTGGTGTTGAGTGTACTGCTCTGATAGAGTGTGTTTTGGAGGAAAACACTGGGCTGGATCCAGCTGCCTCAGAACACAGAAAAAGTGCAGTGGAAAAAGGGCACAGGATCAGAAAGTCTGATTGTTTAATGGATATTTCAGATGAACACTTTGTATAGTCCAGCTGTGGCTTGAAGAACTTGTAGCCCAAGGGCAGCAATCAATGGTGTGGCACACAAGAGTGCAATAAATCTTAAACTTGCTGTGTACTGGAAAAAATATGATTGCAGCATCTTTAGTATCGTATTATTACACATCTCCATATCATTACATGACTGAGAACCTAGCTCCTGCTACCTTTAGCCATCACATACTATTCATGTTATGCCTCATATACACTGAAACAATCTGGTCAGAATAAAGTAGATTTTGCTTCCAGTTGGTTAGGCAAGCCACAGAGCATAAAACTCTCTAGTGACCTCTCCATCAAGGAAAAAGAGAAGAATTAAAACATAAGAAATGTATTCCTGAAATCCTATCACGGGTCAGTGGAAATAGCATAATCATTGAAGGCCAGAAAATGTATCAATATATATCAATGATATATCAGTAACTTATAATTGTTAATTGTTAATAAAAGTTAATTGTATTGGATTCATAAGGAACAGTTATTACTCTCATATTTTTGCATGGGAAAGAAGAAAACAAACATGATTTGCAAAGTCAAGAGTCTGTTGTCAACATAGGTAAATTCTTGACAGGCTCATGAAAGATTTTTCAGTTCAGATTTAACAATTACAAAAAAAAAAAAAAGAAAAGAATGCTATATCAAGGGGAAAAAAACCATTTCTATAGTAGACATCTAAAATTCTTATAACAACTTCCTAATATTCACCTCCCTGGTGTTTTGCTCACCCTTCAGTGTTTTCCACAGGTTTTTAGATGGTTTGGTTCAGTGTGATGGGAGTTGTTTGTTTGCTTTGACACCCCTGCAACTGGCTTTTCCCAGTTTCTCAGGTCAGTGTATTTTTAGCTGACCAACAGTGACTTGTTTACAACTCTGAAGTTTCCAGTGTCATCTTGCGCTACCCCCACTCCTGTCATTCCAACACTGTAATCCCCTGCATTGCATTATTATGATAAATAAGGGCATAAATATTTCATTCTACCAACTGCTTATTACTATGTACTATGGTTGTATCCCACAATTATATAAAATTACCAAAAAGTAACACACAGAAACATAGAATATCTCAATTTGAAAGGGACCCATAAAAATGCTCCCCAGTCCTCACCTAATATAAAGCATGTGCCTTTTAGATGCTCTTTGAGCACTGGCAGGCTTGTAGCTGTGACCACTTCCCCAGGGAGCCTGTTCCAGTGACTGACCACCCTTTCAGTGAAGAATCTTTTCCTTATGTCCAATCTGAACTTCGCCTGATCCAGCTTCATTCCATTTCCTCATGTCCTTGTGCCTAGCACTGGTCACCCATATGGAAATCAGTACATTAGAGAAGTACCTCCTGATCATTGTAAGATTGTTGTTACATGTAAGCAAAGTAAAACAGCTGCAGGAATGCTAAATCAAGCTCAGCAAAGTCTGACAAGTCCAGAATATTTGCAAAATCAATATAAAGTCTATGTTCTGCTGTATTTACTGAGCCTGAGCTACTGGGCTACATGGATACTAAGTATTTAGAAATGTGAAAGCAACTCAGCTTAATATTACTTATTGCTTGATACTCTTCAATATATTTAATCAATTTAGTATTCAATCCTTCTATGTAACGTGTAAATCCTTATCTCACTTTTAAGTGAAGAGCAGAGGTTACAAAGGTTAGTAGCAAAAAAAAACAAATGTAGAACAGTCATTGTAAATTAATGATTATTAAATGCTTAGCATAAAGCAGACAACATTTAACTTACTATTACATGCAGTACATTCTTTCAGTACTGTCATATTTGAAGGCATAAATTTACCTGTGTTGAGTCAGTATTTCTGTGCTGTCCTTTCTCATTACAGAAGCTTTTTTCTGAATCATTTCTCCTGTACATGCATTTTAAAGGTGTGCAATTAACTGGTCGCAAGTTGTTAGGCAGTTGATGAAGGGTGAACGAGGCGCTGATTTGTTTTCTTTATTTACATGTTCCCCGTAATACTCTGATGAGAGCAGGATCTGAAGGCATTTTTACCCTTGCTTCATCAGAATAAGAAGTGTTTTGTGAAGCCATTTGCAATTCCTCAAATTCCATTAAACATTAGTGTTCAGGATAGCCTAAATCAAAAACATAGTAAGTGCCACATGAACATAGTATTCCTGTCCATGACACAAATAACCAGGTTAAGGAAGTACTTTTTTTTTTTTTTTTCTGGCTATAGCAGTGCATCTGACCACTCTCAGCTTGTTGTTTTATAATATGCTGGTTTTAAAGACCTAGACAATTCAGGAACTGTATCTTGTTTATTACTGAGTCCTCCCCCACCTATTCACTTTTAACCAGAGAGAATAATAATTGTGTGGGGCAACCCACCCTTCAATCAAGCAGGGGGGGGAGATATTTTAAGACAGCTTCATTGCTGGGGCCTTACAGAGTCCCCCATTGTCTATTCTGGTCAAGGTGTCTACCCTGGAGTGTTTGTAGCCACCTTTATTTTAACAATTTTTCTTACAAGCATAAAAAAATAGCTTGCACCGTGAAAAGTCCATCCTCTTATGCACGTACCTCTGAAAAACCCTCTGAAAAACCTTACCCTTAATTATCTTGTATTAAGTAAAATCAGCATGAGAGGTTTTCAGTGAGTGGGAGCTGAATTAGAAGTGGGGGAACAGGCTGAGAGCTACCAAGACAGAAATAACTGAAAGAGCAGAGGCATGAGCAAATTAAACTGAGGCGTGCATGGTGGAGTGTATTGAAATGGCAAATAATAGTCTGGAGGAATTGGTGGAGGACAAGCAAGCAGAAACATAATAAAAAGTGTGGATGAATATGAAAGACAAATGGCAGAAACAAAGAGCTCTTTATAATATGCGGGAACAATTAAGCTGTGTAATCACAAAATCCTGCTGTGACCAAGCTCCTGTGCCATTACGGAATGGACACATACCCCACGCGCAGCACTGTGAAGAGTATGGCAACACTTTCTGTCTCTTGCTTCCAATTCACACTGCCCCCCCTCAGTCAGCAGCAGCTTCTGTGGTATGTTTGTTTTCTGCAGGAGAGCCAGGTTAGCAGAACCTCCCTGTGAGCAAACCCTAGGCCGGAGGGGCAGCTGTAATTAGTTCCTAGTCAGTACCATTAGTTCCTAAATCGTTCTTAAAAGTATTACTTTATTAAGGCTACACATAGCTTTGTTGATTTTTTTTTCTCATCTACTGTTAATTTAGAAAGTATAATACATTCTTTACTAATATATTTAAAACAAGTATGTGGCACAATGTTACAGGAGAACAGTGGGTGTCACTGCTAGGGGAAATTGGCATCTCCATTTCCCTCTATTTAGTATGTATTTTGAGGACCTTATTACAGGTTGTTAGGTCACCATGTTCTGAGCAGATCTTGTTTGCTGAAACGATTTTTACTTCTAATTGTATAGCCTGGGCTGAGTTAAAATGTTTTCTAAATTACATCAGCACCATCTGAATCCAGTATCTCCAAAGAATAAATAGCTGCAGTCTTTTTGAAACCTCCCATGGGAAAAATTCCTTCCAAACACATGAAATTAGAGCCAATAAATGACTAAGGCATCAGACACAGAACTGAGACACTTAAATCCAGAGTTATGGTCCAAACACTACTGCTCAGCTGTTGTATAACCTTGTGGATAATTCCACATTTGACCTCCAAGTTCTTTGTGAAATCCTCCTTTCCTGCAAGCTACACTTGCATCAGAGCAATGAACAGACAAGGCTTTTAAATCTGATATGAATTACCAGAGCATGTTTTACACTTATACCAAAGAATCAAAAATGTCAAAATATCTAACTTGTATTAGAATATCAGCATTTAGTGTACAAGCACCAATGTAGTTAGTGAAGTCTGTAGGGAAGGGGATTTTGATCCCAATTTCTTCACTCAAATCTGGTTTCTTTCTGTAGCTCAGGAGTTTCTAGGGTTAATCCATACAACCCTGATTGACTCCATGTACGAGATATTGACTGCTGTTGCCAAGATGTAAAAGAGAATGGTAACTTACTCCTGTAATTTACACAGCTCCTTCTTTCAGAGTGTTCAATGCCTATTCTAAAATTTCCTGCTGGACCTCAAGGGTTGAAGACAAAACAAGTCGTTTCCTAAACCTGATCAGGTTGGCATGAAGTTTAGCTGTGGTACTTTGTAGGAGGCAATTCTCAACTGCATAGCCTAATTTCATACTTCTGAGTCAT